TTGCTTTCTTCTGTGTCCTCTGGGTTGCAGCAGGCCAAGTTTCTCTCTCCTTCTCTCACCCACCCCTCTGGATCATCAATTTTCTATTTCTTCGTACCAAAAATCAATTAATTTAATTCGATTCATAGCCTTTTTCTCAATATATTTTGGCCTAATTGAGTAGTTCTATTCTGAAATTCTTTTTTTTTTTCTGTGAATGTTAAATATATACAAATTTGATGGATAATTCAGTTTTATTCATAATTAGGGTTTCCAAATTGCCCATAACTTTTTTCATTTGAGGCATTTGGATCGTTCCCTGTATTGAAAATGTTACCTTTCTTTGTAAAATTACAAAATTCGAATTTAATTTCATNGATTTATAATTAAAATAAATAAATAAATAGGCAAACAACTAGACACTATATAACTAGAGATGACAGTGGATCGGAAAAAAATAAGTATTTGTTTAAACTTGTCTCATTTAGACCCGGGATAAACCATATATATTAGACGGTAAACATAGATANATAATTAGGGTTTCCAAATTGCCCATAACTTTTTTCATTTGAGGCATTTGGATCGTTTCCTGTATTGAAAATGTTACCTTTCTTTGTAAAATTACAAAATTCGAATTTAATTTCAANGCTACTCCCTTTCAACCGACTCTGGCTCAAACCTTTGCATATAGTGTTTGGATGCTCAAAAATGATTGCATAGGATATTAAATTAATGATTGTTAGATTTATAATTAAAATAAATAAATAAATAGGCAAACAACTAGACACTATATAACTAGGGATGACAGTGGATCAGAGAAAAATAAGTATTTGTCTAAACTTGTCTCATTTAGACCCGGGATAAATCATATATATTAGACGGTAAACATAGATAATGATACCTGTATAAATCCGTGCGGAGATGAACTAAAACTCATCCTCGCCTGCTAAAACCGTGATATCTATCTATCTATCTATCTATCTATCTATCTATCTATATATATATATATTAAAACCCTCTTGCCCCTATTAAAAATATTTATCTGCGGGGCTGAGACGAAAATTAAAATTTTTTCTAATAACGAGGGTGGACAAATATTTTTGAAGTGAGTACGGGGGTAAAAACTATTCTCCCATACCCGTCCCAGTCCACTGTCATCCATATATCTAACTACTTGGCAAGAGTTAATAGACTCATTCATTAATGGGCTTTCGTCCAATGATAATTTTTGTCTTCTAAAAGTTTTACTTTCTTAAAGTTTAGGATTTAAGCCTCTTCCCCTAAGAGAAAAAAAAAAAAAACAGTCTAATTTCTAAAATTTCTCTGAAAACAACAAAGCTTGGGAGTATTTTACTTTATTCCCTAAAAAGTTTAAAATTTTATATTTTATAGATTTCAAGATTAAATTTATTACATTACACCCTTAAAGTATTAAATGTATTGTAATATGATTCCTTCGTTAACTTTTGTAATTCATTCTGTTAAAAATCACTCTTTTGACATTAGTAAAATGAACAATAGAAACTAACAATTGAATCAGATTATATCGCTTTTAATATTTTGAAGGTGAAAGCTTTACCTTCTTGAAGTCAAGGGTTCAAGTCTCTTTCTTTTCCTCTCCCCCAAAATTTTTTTTTAAAAAAAATAATAATATATTGATGGTGTAGTTTGAAAAATATAATATTTTGAGAGTAGAAATTGAAAACTTTCTTAAATCTTTTGAATACAAAGTGTAATTCCCCCAAAAAAGGAATAAAATAAGATTCTCTCTAATTTTAAGGAAATTGAATATATCATCCTTCTGCGTCCAGATACAGTTTTAACCTTATCCATTTACCTCGTCATTATCCTCGTCTTTTGAGATACAAAGTGTAATTCCCCCCAAAAAGGAATAAAATAAGATTCTCTCTAATTTTAAGGAAATTGAATATATCATCCTTCTGCGTCCAGATACAGTTTTAACCTTATCCATTTACCTCGTCATTATCCTCGTCTTTTGAGATACAAAGTGTAATTCCCCCCAAAAAGGAATAAAATAAGATTCTCTCTAATTTTAAGGAAATTGAATATATCATCCTTCTGCGTCCAGATACAGTTTTAACCTTATCCATTTACCTCGTCATTATCCTCGTCTTTTGAGATACAAAGTGTAATTCCCCCCAAAAAGGAATAAAATAAGATTCTCTCTAATTTTAAGGAAATTGAATATATCATCCTTCTGCGTCCAGATACAGTTTTAACCTTATCCATTTACCTCGTCATTATGAAATTCCGGGACCATCATTTCACAAATATCCCACACGTTGATACGAAATTTCTCCTCCTTCCTTTTCATTGCTTTCTTCTGTGTCCTCTGGGTTGCAGCAGGCCAAGTTTCTCTCTCCTTCTCTCACCCACCCCTCTGGATCATCAATTTTCTATTTCTTCGTACCAAAAATCAATTAATTTAATTCGATTCATAGCCTTTTTCTCAATATATTTTGGCCTAATTGAGTAGTTCTATTCTGAAATTCTTTTTTTTTTTCTGTGAATGTTAAAAATATACAAATTTGATGGATAATTCAGTTTTATTCATAATTAGGGTTTCCAAATTGCCCATAACTTTTTTCATTTGAGGCATTTGGATCGTTCCCTGTATTGAAAATGTTACCTTTCTTTGTAAAATTACAAAATTCGAATTTAATTTCAAAATTCAGGTCAGTTAGGGATTCTAAATTACCCAAAAACAATTTCCACTTTAAGGTTTCCTGGTTGTTTTGTTTGGAAAAGATTTTTGAGTTTTGAAAATTGGGTGGTGTGGGAGGACATTTGTTTGGGGAAGAGTTGTGGGGTGGGGCATGGATTGTAGAGTCTGTGTGGCCACCGGTGATTTGTGGATGAGAATGGCCGGCCGTGGTGGTGGTGTGGTGGGTGACATCGGAGGTGGGTTTAGCCACGAGAGCGAGCATGACTTGGCGGTTATGGTGAGTGATTTCTTGGAAAATGGGAGTGGTGGGGCCGAGTCAAGATGTAGTAGCGACAGCGATTCTGGGTTCTGCGATCTTCCTCACCTTGCTGATAAGATTTTGGTTAGTCTCTCTCAANGATGAACTAAAACTCATCCTCGCCTGCTAAAACCGTGATATCTATCTATCTATCTATATATATATATTAAAACCCTCTTGCCCCTATTAAAAATATTTATCTGCGGGGCTGAGACGGAAATTAAAATTTTTTCTAATAACGAGGGTGGACAAATATTTTTGAAGTGAGTCCGGGGATAAAAACTATTCTCCCATACCCGTCCTNTGGTTAGTCTCTCTCAATCCACAGCTGTTTTACATTTCACATTTCGTCGATATATTGCAATTGTGTTCTTATGGATATTTAAGAGAAAAATTGTGAATTCTAAAGCTGTTCTGCGTTTTTGGNATATATCTAACTACTTGGCAAGAGTTAATAGACTCATTCATTAATGGGCTTTCGTCCAATGATAATTTTTGTCTTCTAAAAGTTTTACTTTCTTAAAGTTTAGGGTTTAAGCCTCTTCCCCTAAGAGAAAAAAAAAAACAGACTAATTTCTAAAATTTCTCTGAAAACAACAAAGCTTGGGAGTATTTTACTTTATTCCCTAAAAAGTTTAAAATTTTATATTTTATAGATTTCAAGATTAAATTTATTACATTACACCCTTAAAGTATTAAATGTATTGTAATGTGATTTCTCCGTTAACTTTTGTAATTCATTCTGTTAAAAATCACTCTTTTGACATTAGTAAAATGAACAATAGAAACTAACAATTGAATCAGATTATATCGCTTTTAATATTTTGAAGGTGAAAGCTTTACCTTCTTGAAGTCAAGGGTTCAAGTCTCTTTCTTTTCCTCTCCCCCAAAATTTTTTTTTNAAAAAAAAAAACAGACTAATTTCTAAAATTTCTCTGAAAACAACAAAGCTTGGGAGTATTTTACTTTATTCCCTAAAAAGTTTAAAATTTTATATTTTATAGATTTCAAGATTAAATTTATTACATTACACCCTTAAAGTATTAAATGTATTGTAATGTGATTTCTCCGTTAACTTTTGTAATTCATTCTGTTAAAAATCACTCTTTTGACATTAGTAAAATGAACAATAGAAACTAACAATTGAATCAGATTATATCGCTTTTAATATATTGAAGGTGAAAGCTTTACCTTCTTGAAGTCAAGGGTTCAAGTCTCTTTCTTTCCCTCTCCCCCAAAATTTTTTTTAAAAAAAAAATAATAATATATTGATGGTGTAGTTTGAAAAATATAATATTTTGAGAGTAGAAATTGAAAACTTTCTTAAATCTTTTGAGATACAAAGTGTAATTCCCCCCAAAAAGGAATAAAATAAGATTCTCTCTAATTTTAAGGAAATTGAATATATCATCCTTCTGCGTCCAGATACAGTTTTAACCTTATCCATTTACCTCGTCATTATGAAATTCCGGGACCATCATTTCACAAATATCCCACACGTTGATACGAAATTTCTCCTCCTTCCTTTTCATTGCTTTCTTCTGTGTCCTCTGGGTTGCAGCAGGCCAAGTTTCTCTCTCCTTCTCTCACCCACCCCTCTGGATCATCAATTTTCTATTTCTTCGTACCAAAAATCAATTAATTTAATTCGATTCATAGCCTTTTTCTCAATATATTTTGGCCTAATTGAGTAGTTCTATTCTGAAATTCTTTTTTTTTTTTTTCTGTGAATGTTAAATATATACAAATTTGATGGATAATTCAGTTTTATTCATAATTAGGGTTTCCAAATTGCCCATAACTTTTTTCATTTGAGGCATTTGGATCGTTCCCTGTATTGAAAATGTTACCTTTCTTTGTAAAATTACAAAATTCGAATTTAATTTCAAAATTCAGGTCAGTTAGGGATTCTAAATTACCCAAAAACAATTTCCACTTTAAGGTTTCCTGGTTGTTTTGTTTGGAAAAGATTTTTGAGTTTTGAAAATTGGGTGGTGTGGGAGGACATTTGTTTGGGGAAGAGTTGTGGGGTGGGGCATGGATTGTAGAGTCTGTGTGGCCACCGGTGATTTGTGGATGAGAATGGCCGGCCGTGGTGGTGGTGTGGTGGGTGACATCGGAGGTGGGTTTAGCCACGAGAGCGAGCATGACTTGGCGGTTATGGTGAGTGATTTCTTGGAAAATGGGAGTGGTGGGGCCGAGTCAAGATGTAGTAGCGACAGCGATTCTGGGTTCTGCGATCTTCCTCACCTTGCTGATAAGATTTTGGTTAGTCTCTCTCAATCCACAGCTGTTTTACATTTCACATTTCGTCGATATATTGCAATTGTGTTCTTATGGATATTTAAGAGAAAAATTGTGAATTCTAAAGCTGTTCTGCGTTTTTGGAATTCCATGTTGTTTACATGTTTGTGAATTATGAGGTTTTGAGACTTTTAAGTTTGTCTGTGTTATTTGATTTCAAGGGCCTTTTCCTTTTAATTTAATAAAAAAAAATGTATGAAATGTGAAAACAATGATTTTTTTTTTTATTAGGGGCCGAGCGAACGCAGGCACAAATTATGACGTAGGCTCTGCCCATTAGATGGAGCATGTTCTTCGCAGGTTGTTAATGGTTTTGTTGAAAACTGAAGTACAGTAATGTTTTTCATTTTTTTCCGAATTTTTGGCAATGGTTTTGAAATTTAATCCCTAACATAGCCCACGGGTTTTCGAAAACCAAGACTTGTTTAGAATCTAGACGGACTCTTGTGTGTCAGTGCCTTCTTTGGTTAGAAATGCTTCGTTTTTGGATGTCCAAGTGACGCACTTTCGAAGCATTTCAGAGGATTAATAGAAGTGTTCTTGTATTGGTTGCTCTTATATCTATGAATGAACATCCATTTTATTCACCATGTCTAATAGAAGAAGTGGAAGAATTTAGATACGTGTTTCACAATTTCAAGCTTTTTTAGCAAAAGAAATTTGACTATTGATTTAATTATAAATGCTCACATTGACCGGTTATCTGTAATTCTGCAGTATCACAAGTTGTCGGTGGATCAATATGAGAGCAATTTAATGGCAGTGGTTAATTCTCTTATGCTATCTATCAAAGGCATCAATCTTCACCCTGTCAAGTCAGGTCCGTGCAATGCTAGCTGCATCAGGTTTTCTCTGGTAAAGCTTCTGAGGCTTTCTGGTTTTGATGCCGCTGTATGTGCATCCAAGTGGCAGGGTAGTGGCAAGGTTCCCGGAGGTATGCCAAGGCTTCACTAAGCTCAAACTGCATGTTTCGTGTTACGTTCATTGATAAGATTTCAAAAATATCAATAACTTCTCACCGAGATGGGTAAAAAAGAGTAAACTTGTGACTCATATCAAACAGTTTGAAATTGTGGATGGTTTAAATATTGTGCCATATGCTTTCTTGCATATACTGCCTGCATATTGGTGCTGCAGGTTGCTTTCTTAGGCAAGAAATCATTTCCTGTGATGATCATTGCAAACTAATATGCAATTATTAGATCAGTGAAAAACTTACATATTAAATTTTTCTGGAGGGTTGGTATATCTTATCAGATTAAGAGGTAGTTGTGTATGCTCAAAGGCAGGAGAAGCAGATTTCCTTGTCGATTCGTGCAGTTAGTGATTTATTTGATCTAATATTTAGTGCTGTCCTGGTTTCTATGCAGGGGATCACGAATACATTGATGTGCTTAGTTGCAATGATACTGGAAGATCTGAGCGTTTGATCATTGATATTGACTTTCGAAGCCACTTTGAAATAGCTAGAGCTGTTGACACTTACGATAGAATGTTGAATTCCCTTCCGGTTGTTTATGTGGGATCTTTAACAAAGCTGAATCAGTTACTTCAAGTTATGGTTGAAGCTGCCAGATCTTCTCTCAAACAGAACTCAATGCCCCTTCCTCCCTGGAGATCTCTCGCTTATTTGCAAGCTAAGTGGCAGTCACCCTACCTGAGAAAGTTTAATCCTGATGAACAGGAAGTTAACAGCACCAGCCCTGAGCATAAGCAATGTAGTGGACATTTGAAGAGGCTGCAATCTTTGCTTCAGTCTGAAATTGAAGCAGAGCGAACATTGAAAGTCATGAACTATGATAAAAATCGGAGGCGGACAGTTGAGTTGCAGAGGCATTCTTTATTCAGGACTCTTTGAGATGTACAGATACTTGCTATCAATGGTTTAAAGGCCAACCGTTGAGAATTTTTTTCCCCAGACATCAAATAAGTTTTTTGAACCAGAACGGAGGCCAGGTTTATGTAGCTGACATTAAGAGTAAATAACACGCCATATTATGGAGGGCATGTTTTTTTTCCCGTCTCATGTTGTGGCATTTACACTTGGTTCTTTAATTATTTGTGAGCCAGAAGAAGCACGAAGAGTATGGTTTATGTAACTGCTGCGGGTTCTCTCTGCCTTCCACAGCTTTGAGGTCCTCGCCGCTTGGTACTTGCCTGATCCTGGAGCATCATTATATAGACTTATTTTTCCTATTTTCTCGGTATTGATAAAAACTGTATTTCTTGTTTCTTTGTTATGTAGCAGAAATTCCTCCCCCCCCCTCCCCCCTTTTTTTTTTTTCTTTCGATATGTTTTTCCCTTCAAATGTTAATCTAGTAAAGGCTCATAAGATTTTGTTTCCTTGAACCTTTAGGGAGTGTCATAATTTTTCCAGTATTCAAAAGGCTGCTTGAACATTGTTATTTTTTTCGATCAGTTAATAAAGTTACTTTTCATGGTTTTGTTGCTGTTCAATGTTGTCTCCTTTCACTTATCTTTGTGATGTTTCATGGATATTGTGTTAATATGGACTATTAAGTGTTGGATTCCTTCATGTATATGATATTTGATTTATTTTCCAAGATTGTATATGATATTTGAAACTGATAGCACACTCGAGGTAACGTTTTAGGAAGAAATATTTGAATATCAATCTCATCGATTTCATACTATATACTATCCGACTGATATTATTCGACGTCACCGACATTTCATCCAAACCCATTCGCTCCAATTTATTTGTTAAGTTAAATGATTCCTAAAGAAAATACATATAGGGGTAGAAAGTTTTTGAGGTAAAATTGGCTTTGCTTATTTGGAGAAAATACACTTGATTTTGTTATCGAAACTTGGTTGTGGATGGCTTCAGGTTGGTCAACCAGTGATGAACAACCCATTTATTTGTTAGGAAGATACAGTTTAAGAAAGTCGTAAACAATGTACACGGTTTCAGCAAATAGTGAGACTTAAAGAGACATATGAAAGAGGTAACTGATAGACAATCTTATCTATTTTTTAAGTTTCGTTTCAAAATGTGTACATGTGATGACTCGTATTGACGTGTGTTGAATCCAACATCGGAAGCTTTCACGGGAATCTTAGGTATATATATATAAACAATGACCTTAAATGACAACTCTTTAATTAACACTTTTGAGAGTTCCTCTAATTACTACATATGGTATCAGAGCCGACCCGTGCATAAAACTATGTGGATTCGGGGGCACTATAGTGTGGGATCGTGGTATTTGTGATTGATTGTGTCTCCTTGGGGGAACGCAAGAGAATAAAGGAGGGAAGATTGTAGCGATCCGCATTGGCGTGTGTTATATCCCACATTGAAAGATAACACAGGAAATCTTAAGTGTATATATATAAATAATGATACAAAATGACAACTTCTTTGCTAGCCCTTTTGAGAGAGTAACGGTGGTTACTACAGTCACGACCTTGGCATTGCATACACTAGTGTACTCGAATTTGATGGAATGAAGAACTCTTGCAGGTAGACAATGATTCCAAGCTCGAATTTGAATTCAAGTTAGGGCAGAAATGGCTCCAGCCGAAGTGATATATGAATTACATCGTCTAGTCTCACCTGATAAGAGCAACCTGGGGTGGATTGTAATAACATTTTGTCTCACCTTCTTAGAGAGACCTGGGTTGGATGGAAAACAATGTTGATTTTTTTTTTTTTTTGCTACAGGATGTTAGGTTTGCGTTAACTATTTTCTCGAACTTGAATATTAACTAGTATAATCCGAACAATTAGAGGGCATGAGAAATGTAGAACCTAAAACCTTTGGGTTATCAGAGTCTAACCCATCCACCCTAAAGGGTTAGTAAACAATGTTGATGATTATATATTTTGGTTGCTTTTTTTCTAGGAAAAGAAGACGACGTTATTTCCAGCTATCTCTCTCTCTCTCTCACACACACACATTTGCAAGCAGCAATCTACTTTTGCTATTTTGGTGGGCTTTTATTATTTATCGTGTGTATGTTTGTAAAGTAAGTTGTAAAGCAACTATAAAATTATTTCATTATGATTTACGCTTACACTTCAAGCGTTCGAGTTATGGAAGTAGTATTTCTGTATGTAACTATGTATATCTGACTCTTTTCAGATCCTATAATAACAAAAGCTCTGTGTATTGAGACACCCTCCAACAAACGGATATTAACTCCTTTCGTTTTTGCTTTTTCTTTTGTTATATTTTTGTGTGTGGCAGGTTTTTTTTTCCTGCCATTTTTTTTTTT